GCTCGCCCGCGCCTTCAGTCTGCTCACCCGTCGCTGCCGCCGACGGTCGGTCATCGTCCCGTTCAAAGTCGTGGTTCTTCGCTTTCAACTCCCGGTAGAGGAAGAGCTGAAACGAGCGGGGAAGAGGGGAAGATAAATACTAAGTTGTCCAGCACAAGACAGGTAAGAAGTGGGAGGGCCCAGGCCCCCATCTCCCAATTATTTATGGATAATACACCTGCCGATTAGCGATTGCCCATTTGTGTGTGCGGCAACCGTCCGCCTTAAGCCAGAACGAAGTCACCGATATTCCATCTGATAATTAGATCAGACCAGGGAATGGTGCTTTCACGCGGTAATAAGACAGCATGTAAACGTGTAACCCACAAACCGACGAGTCGTCGCTGAGGCAAAAAGGCCTCAATAAGTGACGAAGTTTCTTTCACATCTGTGCGTCTTTTACAATGCTAATTTTACAAAACGAAACTAGCCGCAGTCGAACTTCTGAGTTTGTTCTCCACGTAAATCAGAAGAAGGAAGCAAGCTAGTTTTCTTTTAGAAACCCAAACGTCATATCGCTTTTAAAAATCTGTAAGCTTCGATATCCTTAAACAATTTGGGCAACGGTAGGCTATTTAAGCCCCTTATTCAGCATTGATCCTAGGATCATGTAAAACAGAAATACTGGAAATGGATGGTTTTAAGAGTGGGGCCTCACTGCAGACAAGCAGGGGAATATGTGCACAAGACGTCCAAAAATAGTAAATTTCTAGGCCTACATATAACAGCAAACTTCAGAGAGAGAAAGCTATTATAAAAAATAAACAAAAAAGGAATTATTAATAAATAAAAGGAATCTGAATAGTGAAAAAACACAATTAAAAATTTGCGCGACTTTATGTGAATTAAGTAGTTAACACAGATATACTTCCCATAACTATGAATTAATAAATCAAAATAGATCAAGTTAGGTATTTTAAACCTATCCCTAGCGAAATGTCTATTCCTGTAATGCTCATATCAGCGAAATTTAGCAAAACCCGCTTGCCTTGCCAAACGCATCTCAAACAACGTGGAAACGAAAAAAACAACAAATTTTCGTAAAATCGTGTTAAAATCTATATACAAAGTGTGGACTTTTTACTAACAGTCAGAACGGACACCAGAAGGACATTTAAGTGCAAAATTCACAAAACGATTTTAATACGTTACTTTACTTGCGCTGATTCATTTACCCGTTTTATTTGCAAGACATGCTTTACGTACACTTAAAAATTAAGTTTATCCAGTTACGGCGGTTCCCGACGTTTGCAAAATGTTCTGCTTTTCTATGAAAGTTGGTATTACTAAACAACATGATATTACTTCTAATATGTGTTTTACGTTTTTAATTCGCTTAAAGGTATTTAATACTACTGCTAAGCTTTGGGCCATTCGCTGGCAACGATTTGCGGGTGATTAGCAATCTTTCTTAAAGTTCGGCGTTTCACAGCACATAGGCCACATACACTGCAAGAAGCATAAAGCAGTTCCGCGGGACAGATGAGAAGTTGGAGTGTCCATTCCCGCCTTCGAAATTGGGGATAGCTAGTCGGTATGTGACCGTCTGCCCCAAGCCAACACGAAGTTGCCGACATTTCGTCCCGAAATCAGACCAGACCAGGGAAATGGTACTCTCACGCGGAAAAAAGAACGCATGTCAGCGCGTAACCCGCAACCCAACGCGTCATCACTCAGGCAAAGAGGCCTGATCATTTCTGACGGATAAACTAACCCAATTTGTGTCCGGCAGGAGGCCAGTCTATTTTAATTGGCCTTGTTTGCTCACTCCGATCATGGTAGGCGAGAAAATGCGGTATGCTGCAAGAAGCTAAAAAAACTATAGGAATCCCACAATGCACCCTTTTGACTCAATTGTATTTCAAAGGTATTCTGACAAAGCAGTGCGATGAATGGGTATGAAGGCCGGTAAAGCCATAGTCAGCGTGCCCGTAATAAAGACAGGGAGGAGGAGGAGGAGGAGGAGGCGGGGCTTACCTTGACAATCTCATCCAGAGCAGAGATCATGACGCGTTTTTTGGGAGAACACCCATCTCCGTCCAAATCCTCCGCGTCTTCATCCTCATCGTAGCCGACCTCTTCCACCAACTGGGCAGTGGCAGAAGCAGAGGCAGCAGTTCCGGTCTCTGCTTGCCCATTCAGGTGGGGAGAAGAGGATGCCGTATCCGCTACCACATTCGCGGCCTCCGTGGGCACCTCCAGATGAACTAGGCGGATGCGGTTCTCTGAACAGTGTTCACACAGGTTGGCCAACAGACAGAGAATGAGCACGAGGAGGTCAAAGCGACGGCTTGGCGGTAACTTCTCGGGCAAATGAAAGAGGCAGTCGAGAGTGGCCTCCAGCAGGCCCGGACAGCCGCCTAGACGATCGCTGGCGTACTCTGGAGAGGATAAACAACGCAACAGAGTTGGTAAGTTAATAAGTAGTCGTTGCCT